CCCCAAAACCCCAAAACCCCAAAACCCCAAAACCCCAAAACCCCGTTTTGATATAATTTTATTGAAAATGAATGAGCAAGAATATGAACATGAACAAACTTCCTATGTAATAATGAGTGAAGTCAAGCAAAAGGAAATACATTTCCAAATGCAAGGTTCCCATTTGGACCCCTTAGAAGAAGGTCCTGCTAATGTGTATCCTATTCCTGCAATGCTTCCAAAGAAGAGTTTCAAGCTCAGCTCTATGGCTGCTGGTAAGGATAAGTTTCTCTCACCTTATAGGTAACTCTCCTCATAAAAGATCTCCGAGAGTGTTAGTTCGGAAACCAATTTCGATCTTGGCCCAGATCAAGAATGTATGCTTCCAATAATCCTGTAGGTGAAAGTTAGCAATGAAAAGGAAGAAAGCCAGAAGACTCCTAAATCGAGTCAGAGCAGAGGAGAGCAGCAGTCACCTCTGAACTAGCTCAAATTTGGAGAATGACTACCTTCCTCATTCGATTGTTTCTCCTCTCGCAGACAGGAAAAGAGTTATTGCTGCTAAGTCAGATCATATTAGGTTTGATTTTTCTCTGAGAAAGGGCAAAAAGGCTTTTGAAAAACAACTCAAGTAAGTCTCGAATATTTCAGTAAACATGATGATTTCTGGAATCTATTTGCTTCATGATTTCAAAGAGTTGGGTATAATCCAGTTTCTATATTTGGGTTTGAATTTCATATGTGGTTCATGCTAAATTTAAATATTGTCTTGACTAAAACCAAAGAGCCTTGATATGATTCAACCAGAACCAAACTATTGTAGATAACTCTTAAATTGCTCTAGAGAGAAATCGAAAGAGATGGAGAGACTCAAAAACATCATTTATCACCCTAGTAAGTTGACTCAGTTGATTTGTCTAGGAAACATTAAGGTCATCAGGAGGCCAAAGCAAGGGTGTATTTTTAGCAATAAGGCACTCAACAATTCAAGGATAAAGCTTAATTCATCTCGAGAACCTTGCTCAAAGCCATATCCAAGGCCTGCTTCACAAGTGATCCAAGGGTTTTCTTCCATGAACTCTTCAACTGATTTTTACAGAAGTAAACGATTTACTTCAAGGTTTGGTTATTGATCATACTTAGCTCAAAAATTCGTGACAAGAGAAAGACTTTGTATAAGACCAATACAGCTATTCTGAATCAATTCATGAAGTGTGCAGAGCTCGGAAATCCGATCGATTTGTCCAAGTTCAGTAATAATTTAGATATCATGCTCAAACGTGATAAAAGGTAATTTGAAGTCTCCCTTCTGCTTTAAAGTTATACGATGTCATAAAATATATCCAAAGAACACTAAATTTAGTTTAGCAGCAAAATTGATCTTTAAAATTTTTGTCTGGAATTCAGATTCACTTATTCTCTCAATTTAGCTTTAATCTATCTAAATTAGGGTATCATCTATAACTTTTTAATACCAAACCAGTAATGTAATTTTAAACATGTTCATAGCAGGGTCGACAAGAGAGTTGACAGACAAAGGAAGCAGGCAGTCCAATCCCAGTTATGTATGAGAAAGGCTAAACCAAGTGGGGATATTCAAAGAAGTTTTACCCCGAGCAATCAGGCTAGAGGAAGACTAGTAAACTGCTGGAGTAAAGATACCCAGCCATCTTTAGCTGGCAAGAGCTCAAACAATTTGTTCAGAGTAAGTCAGATCTATTTTTGTCTTAAAATTTGCATAATTATTAGTATTTAAGGTACTCTTTTTTATGAAATTTGAGATGTTCATCTTATAGCTATTTTGCCTATAATTTTACTTGTGGATATTGATTAACATCTTCAGATGTTGAAGAACACCAGACTCCATAATACCCAAGCATCTATGGAGAAGAGAACCAGTCTGAAAATCATGGGGCATCACAAAGGCCTCAAGGTAAGGGATAGATCCCCTCTGCAGAATTCCAAGATCGTTAATGCCAGAATTGAGTGTAATCCTAAAGTGTTATCTTCTAGCACTACTACAACAAAGAAATGCCAATCAGCCTCCAATGAAATTGGGCCCAAAAGGTTTGGAGAGTGGAAAGTTGACCAAAAATGACAGTAATTTTCTTAAATTCCAGTCTGATTATTTAGTACCTGAAGTTCCTGATAAGAATGCTACAAGAGGTTCTGCAAGGGTAAAGCTAGCCGTTAAGACTACCAAGAGACGTAATATCCTGCTCTCAACCCTTTAGGTACTTCGAGTCTGTTGAATATAAAATACAACGAAAAGGTCAAGAAGGAGCGTGACGATTTTGCTAAATCTGTGATCATTAAGAATAAGAATGAATTGAAGTAGTAAGGGATAGCATAAATTACTCCAAACATTAAAGATGAGGCTTATAGATTGTTTAAGTGCTTTCAGGCTGTTTTCTACAGACACCCAATTTTGTTAGTCACGACTTCTTTAAGACATGTTTCTCACCAATATAGGCCATCTGCCAGTGAAGAGAAAGAAGGCAGAAGAAATGGACAATGGGTTTTGAATGATATATCCGAATAATTATGTGGTTTCACAGAGATTAGAGGAGTTTAGAAGGCCAGGTATATAAAAAATTATATGATTAAATTCAATCTAGGGGCTTATAATTGGGGTTTTGGGGTTTTGGGGTTTTGGGGTTTTGGGG